ATGTTTCAATACTGTTACTATACAAGCGGTATGTACCTAATCCCACATACCCCGCCAGTTGCTACACAGTATATACAACACCACTTCAGTGATGTTTGCATAGCAACACATGGTTGTTTTTAATTGCCTGAGCTCCTCAGGCCACACTACTACATGTTATATGTGTAAGCGGGCCACCAACCTATTGTGCAGCCGCCGAGGTGTGTGTGTGTGAGTTGAGTCAAGAATGGTACAAGGTTCAATGGTGTGAGGCTGTGCCCTGTGCATGTGTGTCATGTGTGGTGGCAGCAGATGACAGTTGCCATTTTCCGCCTACTGATCAACTTAGTGCTCATTACAGAAGAATGCATCGTTTAGCGTCTACTGCGTTACACTATGCACCTAGCATACTGCAGACGTAACAACGCCCTTTGTGGTGGATAAGTAATATGAAGTAATTTGTCAAGAAAACATGTGGGGCTCTTATTAATTCTGGGTGAAAGACATTTTAGCATGCCTCTGCATTGACATTGCCCTACATTATATTTTATGTTAAGATGCTTGAAACCACAAGTTTAAATGACAAAAAAAAATTCCTTGGGGCCGCCCTCTGCAACGTGCATTGTATGGTGTTTCTTTTGACCTCCGTATGATTGATTCTTTTTTCGGCTGTAATTATTTCCCTCAGAAAGTAAAAATGGTGACTCACTGGAACGTCCCCCCCCAGGGGGGGGGGGGGGGGGGGGGGTGGGGAGGGGGTTTTTAAAAACGACCTCTCTATGCACATACATGCAAATACTGATTTGCTATGACGCGGTGTGCTTTTCTTTCTCGAACACGCCCACTTATCTCAGCAACACAAAGCTACCTTTTTTTTTTTTTGGTTGCCCCCCGCACCAACAAGTGAAAACCATTCTCTAAGCCTGTGCAGAGAGACCCCCTTCGACCCCTGTTCATTATCCTTAATAGACAGGGGGGAGGGGCATCCACACTTTCCCCCAGCACAATCTATAACCCCCTTTGCAACGCTGCAAGTATATACCTCCCTCCTGTGTGCCAAATCGCCAGGTGGTTCATTAGCTTTATAAGCGGGGTCGGGAAGCACCTCTAATCGCGTCATGGGAGGGGGACCGCTATTCAGGGGTGGTCCAGGCCGAACCCCGTGGTTTATCTTTCTTTTCGTCGAGAAGGAGAAAACCGCCCCCCACTGTGTCTTTGCCTTTTTCGCTGATTGCCAATACGGAGCTGTTGTTGTTTTCACGGTCCACTGCAGACCACTGGCCCGCCCCGGCCAGGAACCCGGCCTGTACTTGATGCAGCCAGAAGCTCCTTGTAGCATTTTTCCTGTCCCAGGGGCCCACCCGCTGACTTGTTTTTATGCGGTGCTGCCAGCGGGAAATGGCCCAGGCACTGCGGCGTAACTAGATTATACCAATGTACGTGGTGTAGTGCGTGCTGTTGTGTTGTTAGTGGGGAGAAGTTCTGGGTTACCCCTCCGGGAAGTGTCCGACTGGCAATCCGCGTGCCTCACGACCAGATCAGGAATCGAAAAACCGTCTACCCTCTACACCGACCCCCTGATCCTACTTCCATCTACTTCAAGTTGTACTGCACACACACTAGCTGCGGATCAATAGGGGTTATTGACTGTGTAGCTCCCACCTTTCACTAATTTCATGATAACCGGTGTACCGTTGCTGCCATATGACATGTATTGGAGCCCTAGCACCAGTCTCTGTACATTACAGGTCGACGCTATTCATGGACACACATGTACAAATTGTCTAGCTACCAATTGCAGTGTAATAGTGTGGTGTGTGTGTGTGTGTGAGGTACTGTCTTAGTGTCTGAATAAGTTCACACACATCATGACATACAAACACAGTGGCCACACGCCTCTCACTGGAATTGATTCGTTCAACACGACATCCACCGCCATGCTGAGTACTGTATGGAAACTTTACGACCCACACGCCTATTAAGCCTACACTTACTCACCCGCTGATAAACCATGCGCATCCACATAGTAGAACAAACCCAACCATAGTTGATGCAACAACAGTTGAGGTTATGCATCATGAACCACCACTAAAATTCAATTGTAGCAACTTCCGAGTGCGTCTTTGGTTCTGATTGTCACCACCTCGACCAATCAGATTTACCCAGTTATTTACACACGACGTTAACCACAGATTGAGCATTTTGCAATGCGCGAGCCAAAAACCAGGGAATGCATAAATACATCATTGTGGAACTTCCGAGTGCACATCCCGTCCCCTCCCCCCCGGCCAATCAATTCGAGGCTCACACTTTGCTTTGTTGTTGACTAGGCTATTTTTGTCTCTAGTAAGCAAGACTGTTTACCAATACTTTGTGGCCAAATGTATAGTCCCCTTTGTGTAAAAATGAGAGAAACAGATCTTCGCGTCTGTCCGTCTTTAAGATGCTATATTGCCATGTTCATTCATCGGTAAACTACGCGTGGTAAAGTGCCTCGGCTCCCTATTAGTGCCCCTCGCTTCGCTCGGACGCCGACAAGCTCGTGAGCCCTCGCACTCTACCACGCGTAGTCCCACCTCGCTTCCCGCAACTAACCTATATAAGTAGCCATGTTTCATGTGCACCATGGAGCAATAGAACACAGAAAACCCTTTAGACCGTACTTTGTGCAAAAACAGAGTGCATGCACCAAACTGTTAATTAAGTGCTCAAATAATTCTGGTATGGGGAAGTGATCAAAAACCAACCAAAAGGAAGGATCTGATGATCTCAAAACATGACCGGCCAGTCAGTGTGTGTTTATATATTTATAATGAAACTGTGTAGTGTAAGAGGTTCCAACAACTCCAATCATTCACAATAAATGGTCGTAACAACATTAATTCCTGTGGCTGCGGATGGCCCACACGTACGACGTCGTGGGCGAACCAACAACGGATTTACTAGGCTCGCAAGGTTTCACTGATCGCCGGTGGTTTTGAGCACCGAATTTTTCTTGTCCTGACGGCTCCAACCCTTCAGAAAACGTCCTCCGTCGCTGTAACTTTTGTATATACGCAATGCCTGCGAGTATTGATGTCAACGTGTAAACTCAACGATATAAGAGTACAAAGGCACAACAAAACATGTTATTAGAGTGTGGTTGGTTAGGTGAGATATTAAGGAGTATGGTGATCGCAAACGTTTGTTAGTTTATCATCATCCAGACAATATTAATGGGACTAAAATGAGTCTGCACATGACCTTTGACCTTGACTGTGCATACTGACTATCTATATGTACATGTCTTCTTCCTCCTGGGATTTAAAGAGGCAGTCTTGACCTTGCGAGACGGCTTGAGGTGCCCACCTACGCCGTGCCACTGCACAGGTAACACACATGTCCACAGTAGATACGCAACTGTGTGGGAGGGGGGAATCGGGGGGCTAAGCAAAGAGCGTACTATCTGCGACGCTGTGAATACCACGTTGGGAGGCGCACACTCACTGGAATCAATGGGGCGCAAAAACGATATATAAGGGGGAAAACAATAAAAATGACGTGCTGCGGGCGCAGCGAAGGGGTGGGGCATGTTGTGTTTAAGTGCACGCACCCCTGGTTGTGCGTGCTTTGCTAATATCACCACCCATTATTAGTCATGTGATTAGATAGTGATCCCTTTGTGTAGCCTATACATATTATTATATACTTACACAGCTAAGAGTTCTAACTGTCCAGTTGATTACTCAGTGATGGAGGCCGGTCACAGCAGAGTGCAGTGAAAGGGTCACAAATGTTCTGAGTGTTGAAGAACAGAAAGAGATCTTGATCTTTGCTCGGCTGGCGTGGGCTGTGATGTGTGTTGTTCGAGGCCACGACCCCAGTGAACATTGCCGAGGAACTCTGGTTGCCAGCGAGCGGTTGTGTGACTAGGCCACCGGCGTGGCAGAGAGCACGTGCCCACTCCGTTGCAGTCTGCCAGGATTCGCCTTGGTTGGTGGGCGTGATTTGCTGCGGTGCCTGCCTCCATGTGGCGTCACTGTCGTCTAGTTGTTGCCAGCACGAGGGCCAAGACCATGACCCTCTATGAGGATTATATGTAGCTAGTCTATGAGATTAGTAATGGCCCGGGCACTGTGATGCACTGAGTAGCACAGACCAGCACCATCCTGTGTGTGTTGTGCTGTAGTGCTAAGCTACGTTGTTTCTCTTCTCACGGGTCAGCATGGATACACGGAGGGGTCACACTAGATATACCGATAATGTTAAGAATAGACGTATAGTGGTGATGGTCACTGGGTCATATAATTGCTTAGAAGGGAGCGAAGAAGACTTTTAAGAGATTGGTGTTTCTCAATCGACACCGTGCCAACTTGGCTGATTCCCTACTTGAATAATTGGCCAATTGCATCACCAGTAACGCTGTATTGTGTCTATATAACCGCTCCTTGATTGACCAGATTGATTATTAGTATCATCGTCAGTGTACTGTTGTAGTAGCCCCGAGTACTGTACAGCGAGGATCCTCCTGTCTGTGGCAGGGTTTTGGATGATGAATAAAACATGTCGATGCTATGGCAGCGTATGCAGAAACTCAACCTCAGAGCAGCTCTCGGAACACTTCGAGAAAAAGAGCATTCCGTTCCCCACCGTGGTGGTAATGTATTTGACCCCAGTGGCAACAGAGTGGCCAAAATAATGATGTATTATAGAGCAGAGCTGGGCAGATGGGGAAAATAGCCGAAGTAGGACAGAAATGTCTGTCAGCACGATGATACATCAAGCTTATGGTAAAATATTTTGTGATAACCACAGCCGGCCTGGTAACGTACGCGTGATCACTGGCACCTACAGTTGATTGGAGCCATACCTGATGAAGCATACAGTTCACGCGCAGCTGAGTCATTGCTGGATTGGGGTGGGTCGGTGAGTTGCACACATTCTACTGTTTGACAGTGAGTAGTGTGAATTATGAAAATTATGAAAAAGTTGTTCGTACAGTAGAATTCGTTAAGTACGTTTTCAAATTAAATGAAGCACATAAGCGCCAGCACAGGTTACTACACTTATTTTCAGCTATATGTATCAGCTGTCTAAGCATTGACTTCACAGAGCTAACAGCATGGGTGTATAATACTGTTGCGGGACTATGTCGTAATAAAGTCACCGGTCTAGGTGTGTTGCCTATACCTATATAGCTGTCATTGGTTTTTCACTGGGTTAGTTGCTACTTGGAGACAGACAGTTGGGAGCCTTCAGAACCACAAACAGGCAGCGGGCGTGTGTTGCCACCCCCCCAGTGCCAAAACACCTTGCCTGACACACCAGGCAATCAAATACCCCCTCCGCCCAGTACTGTGTGCATACAAAGGGCGCAACTTAGTTAGGCGGTGTCCATATCACCTACCTGTTTGCTGCATACGTGATATTTGGTGCATTGTTTGCTTGCTGTGCTCACTGTGTGCGTGTGACTTGTCTTGCTTGCAGAATTTGCCGTCCTGGCTCAATCATAGGACCCCAGCAACACTACCTTGCAGAGTACGTCATCTGATACGATACATGAACAGCCACACCCTTACACACACTAGACGGTGTGGCTGGTGTGTTTACATTTTCCTTCAGTATAAAGTTTCAAAGTCGGTAGATACTGTAGTTGTGTGTGCGTACACGTCACACCCAGATGAAATGTCACAGTAAGTGCCCAAGGACCCATTAATTTCTCAAGTGTATATACAGTTTTGCTGTCCATCCAGACATTATGTCCCGTGATGTAATAACTGTACTCTGGGTTAATGTTTACAGGAAACAGGCCATTCTGTGGGCAGAGGGAGACATGTGTCGTGGTCGCGACATGCCCAAGCTGCAGAGCGGGAAGGCAGAGAAGATTGCCAAGGCTGAGAAGCTGGAGAAGGAGGCCTGGCTGGAGAAGATGGAGCGACAGGAGAAGCTGCGCTCCAGCATGCGAGCCATGGATCCCCTCGAGGCCCACATGCTCCGTAAGATCACAGCCGACATGGACACCATGATCATGAGCAGCAAGCACAAGGAGTTTGAGGTGAGGAACGGCTTTAGTAGAGTTAACTTACCCGAGCATTATACAATCAACCGATGAGTGGAACAAAAGCCTCCCATAACTTCAGTGTATGCAAGTATATATGGTGGGCCTATGTAGCGTATTGCAGAAAAACCTTTTCTCTTGTTGTATGGACCATCGTGATGATATTATGATACCAACACGTTGCGTAGAACTATTTTCCTAGTGTATATGACACACTGACTTTGAGCTCTATTGCAGTTTTTTTTGTGTGTTGTTCTCTAGACTGAGTCACTGTGTAGTGAGCTCCTGCCCCCGTACTCTGAGGTGGACCATCAGGTGGGAGAGGGGAGGGGAGCAGTGACTCAGGGAGACAGACTCAACGCTCTGAAGAGAGGGAGGGCACACCACCACCACTCAAGAATTGCCTCTGCTGCCGACAGGTGAGAGCAACACACTGATGGTAGTCTAGCCTGACAAGTCAAACAGGTGCACCATACATGTGGCCAAGAATGTGGTGCCTAACTTTTAAAGAGCCCTCGATTTACGTACCTAACTCCTGAAAGTGTGTACACAGTCAGTGAAGTTGGGCAGCTAATAGGTCTTCAGGTATATTGCTTTGAACCCCAGTATATACCTTTCCTGCAGGCACACCCCAGAGCAGATTCTGCTCATGGGCCGCACTCGTCAGCAGACCATTCAGCTCCGCAAGAGTGCAGCAGCAGCGGCGGGGGCCGTGGTCTCCACCCCTCACCCTCCACCTCCCACCTCCTCCTCCTCCTCCTCCACCCAGCTCCCAGCCACGCCTCACGGGAAGCCCATGATGACGAGATCTCGCCAGGCTCCTTCTCGCGGGGTGACCGTCCAGGCCCTGGAGCCAGCAACAGCCCAGACCCTCCCGTCCATTGTCACCACCAACTCCACTCCCTCCAGTCACAGACCATCGTGAGCTCTCAGTCATGCTGTATTTTTTGACACTCAACAAAATCCCCATGTGTGTTGTGGTGTAAAGGATACCTCGGAATAAAAGAGATTTTCATGGTTTTTTTTATAATGGACCCTTTGAGGTTCCATTGTAGTCGGCAGTTCCTTTCTGGCAAATTTGTTTTCTGGCAAGGGGAGCCCACGTAACGAAGTTGTGTATAAGCTCAGTGTTGTTGGGTTCTCCTCTCAATCATCTCTGTTTCTCATTTCTCAACAGACGTGTTCGTGGCAACTCCTCGGCTCGTACCACAGTGCGCCCGGCGGTCCTGGCCACTGCAGGGAAGAGGGAGAACCTCTAGAGTCCCCTCAGAGAGGCGTCGTCGTCTGTGCCTCCTGCCCGAGGCACTGCACAGATCATTTCATCCTACTTCCACCCCCCTTCCCTTCCCCTCCTCTCCCTTCCCTTCTCGCCCCTCCTTTAGTCCTTTTACAGAACTTTTCAATCTTTTTGCAGCCTGTAGTTGTACGGTAATATGTCACCATCCATCCCCCATTCTTATTAACAAGAGACTGTACTTACATAACAACACTTACCTACACATCAGTTATCGACTAGACAATTATACTGACTGTTATACGCCTACATGTTTACCACACGATCATTGTAATCACTGACTCACAGTAATACTAAACAGTGTTTACTATGCATGCATGTATATTTATATGTATGTGTGTGTATTTACGGACTTGAAGAAGACAATCTGCTTGTGTGTGTGTGTTTATCTCTGTGAATTGTTCGAATTTACGCATGCGCGTTCTTATTGGCGGGAATTTCTGATCGGCTGGCCGGCAGGAGGTAGGTAGGTAGGTGTGTCCATAACCACTGGGAGACGGCACGCTCGTCTAGCGAGGGGAGAGAGGGAACGGAAGGATGTTCCAGCGTCAGTGGCGGCAAGCGCAGAGGCCTCGTAGGCACGTAACGACGAAGAGCCAAGACGGCTGGGAAGAAGACGGCACACAGGAAAAGGGCAGACTGGGACGTAAGAGATGAAAGTAGTAAAACGAGTAGTTTTGCCTTATTCACACAGAGGCACATTTGCACCATTCATGTGTTACCCTGCATTTGGACAATCACATCACAGGTTTATAGCAATGACTGCTCGCTTCTTCCACATATACAGAACACAGTAAGTGACTTGAGTGTTCATCAGCTCTCAAGGGAGGAGCTAGTGAGTCACTTGCACCAGCAGCTCTCATCAACTGCACGTGACCAGCATTTCTGTGTAGAATTAATGTGTTTCCTAGCAGAAAGAGTTCAGTAATAGAGAGGAAAGAACGAAAACAAATCACCATTAATTATCCCCCTCCCAACGACGATAAAAATACACACGTGTATGTTCTGCAGGAACTGCGACGGTCTCGCATACTCTCCAAGAATGCTGATAGAGCTAAGAGAGAACTTGAAGAAATAGTTACGGGTAACACCAGTGGTGTCGGAAAGCCAACTGGGGAGCAGAGTAAAGAGGTACACGTACGTAATACATCCAACTGGCATATGTATAGCTTATACATATTTGTGTATATGTCCACCCTCACCATTAATAATGTAGAAGCTGCACAGCATTCTAGAGGAGTCTGATAGAGCTCTTTCTGTTGTCAAAGACTTGTTTGGCGACGATCCAAAGGTGTCTACCACAATATTATTGTGCCATGTTGATCAACTCAAAGTCAGAGGCTCCGTGCTGTTTCCTGTAGAGATACAGTGGCCAGCCAAATGTGACAGTGGCTCCTCATGTGACCACGAATAAAGCAGCACTCCAGAGGTAAGGCTGTAAGTTCTACACAGTAGGTTGTTTGTTGGTGTTAACTCCACTAAAGGCACGCACACACAGCATAGTAGAACCTCCGAATAGAGGGCAAGTTGTCTTTCTTTCTACCTTTACTTGGAGGTTCATTAAAGGAAATGTAGCAGATATAACAGGAAAATTTAGAAACTTGGTGATAAATTTCGACCTTGTGTACTGTCTCATTCTCTTTAAAATCAATATTAGCACCATGTGTTTGAACGGTGTCCTATGATGTGTAGGACGTTGTTGGAGAGCAGGCTGGATGGTCCCACTCCTTCAGCTCTCAATTCTCCCGGGGGAATCAGAGACGAAAGCATCCTTGGGTTGGCCCCTGTCAAACCGGCCCTTAACGACCTACCTTCACCTTCCTCAGGTGATTATAGTGTGGTGTCTTTTCATATTATCACGGTTTACTGTTTCTATTGTCTAGTGTAACCCCTAACCCTGTTACCTTAGCAATATAGTGTACTGTGTATTAAACTACCAAGAACTTCGTGACCTTCGTTTAGTAATTTTATACGAAGAAAGAACCATTTATTCTTGTCTTATGTAGATTTCACGATCGACGAGTCGACTTTCGAGGACAGTTCCCTGCGATTGAGCCCCCCAGTGGCCCCCTACCAGCCAGTCGTGGTTGATTTCCCTCGGTTCCAGCGGCTTGTGGAGGAACACGGAGAGACTGGGGAGGGGGTGGGGAGTGGTGAGAGGGGAGGATGTGAGGTTAGGGAGAGGGTGGAGGGTGACGAGTTGTCCAGTATTTCCCACACTGGCTCCCAGCAAGGCGGAGGCAATGTCACAGTTGACTCAAATATGGACTTACCTAAAGGTAGGGGCGTGTGTGTGTAACTAGAATAAAATGCAGAACTACAGTGCTAATGTGTTGCTTGCCTTGCGACCTTGTTGCTGTGTAGAGGTTATAACCAGTTTCTAACTTATAGTACTCATACTGACAACTATGGTGCAAGATGTACCACAGTTTTGTATAATATACGTAACTATGTGGATGTAGGTGGAGTGAGCGGTCCTACTTCTGGTCATCCACAGAACACGATTGCCCTACAAAACCAGCACCATCCACTGGAGATTGCCCACAAGATGCCGAGCTTCGTGACTGCTCGTCCCACCACTACTGCCACTAGTGGATCTTCTAGAACAATCCTCGCTAATCAACCAGCCTTTGTACAGGAGTCCTCTCACAGTGTGTCTAGGAACCAGAGGGTCCGGAGACTCCCACCTGGAAGAGCTACAACTACTGGTATGAGCAGTTGATGCTGTAGAGTTAGCACACTGTGGTATTATTGTACCTCTACTCTGCCTAGGAGCAGCAAGTAATGGAATCCACGATGATCTCTCAGTCCTCCAGAAGGTACAATTTGTATGATGTTGTGTGTCAAAGATGTGGTGTTGTTGTATGTCATTATACAGCTAGTGCAAGATCTTGAGAGAGAGCTACTGGATTACGAGAAGACTTCTGGTTATAGCTTCCCTGTCAAGAAGCCAGCAGCTGCACAGGTTGCTACCGTGTAATTTGTGTTTAAGGTGTGTACTGTGTGGGTTTGTTTGCTGCTAGAGTGGTACATTCACCTCCTTGACCGCCTCTCTGCTTGCGTCGGTAACAAAACTCACCCACTACCTGAAACAGGTTCGTTGTGGCTCTACTTCTAGCCTTTGCATGTTATAGTTTCTCCTAAATATGCAGAGCGAGGTCCAGTTGAAAGGAGAAGTGGCTGTCAGAAACCAGTTGCTGCATGCCATGGGCGAGCAGCAGAATCTAATGGATGCCTTGACAGCAGTCAGTATATATATACCCTCCTTTAGTTGCCTCCTGTTACTGTTGCTGTCACGTGTGTGTTTTGAAGGATGTCGTGAAGCTCCAAGAAGAGAACTCCTCACTCAAGAGTGGACTCCAGCAGTTGGAGCAGACCACTGCACAGCACACAAAGACCCTACAGGTTTACTTTGCATTCTACACATACTATAATGTATGTTTATGTTTTGTGTGCGTAGGAGGATGTCTTAGAACTTCGCACAAAGATATGTGCATTGGAACAAATCAAGCCTTTTCCTGTGAAGTCTTCTGTTGCTACTAGTCAGCCTACTGGTATGTCTGTTGGTGTGCTATATCCTGCCAATTGTATGTCATTTGATTACATGTGTGTAGGATCAAATGGTGAGGCTTCTGCTTCCGCGATGACATCACCACCAGCATCATTTGCCAAAGCTTCTCCAGAACGTGTGGTGGACAACTGTGATTCTTCCATTCCACCGTCCCCACAACACTTCTATTCCAGCAGACTGGCGCCAAGTATTACTAATACCCAGGGGCCTCCCCTCGATGCCAGTCTCGGTCCGACTCCAGTGCTGCCGTCCAGCATGAAGTCATTCCTTCCACACCCGGCCATGTTCTACCATCCTTGGTCTCTTGCTAACACAGGGCCAGGTATGGAGTCAACCCCAGCACTCTACCAAACACCAGCCGACGGACTGACGAAACCTTCTCTCTATCTGCCTTTTACTCCGACTCCACTATCAGCTCTGTCAGTGCCCCAAGTGACCCCCAGGCTCTCTATGACAACACTATCTCCCCCAGGTGTCAGTGTCTCTCCGCTGCCTCTCGGCTCAGCCTCACAAACTCCTCCCATCTCATTACCTGCCCCCAATGTCAATGTCTCAGACAGCTTTCTTTCACAAGTTCCGTCTTTCTCCGTACCTCCCTCTGGTGTTGGTGTACCTCTCAGTTTAGCACCACAATTCCCCTCTATTACCCTACCGCCCTCCAATGTCAATGACTCTCCTGTGAGCTTGGTCTCACAAGCTGCTGTATATGTGCCTCGCTCTAGCGTCAGTGGCTGTGCCCTACCCCTCAGCTTACCTTCACAACCTCCTCCTGCCTACCAACCTACTCGTACACTACCTTTCCAACCCATGCCCCTACAACAATCGTCCCTGTCGTCCCACCGTCCTCCTTCCAATCCGGCCGTCTCTGTTCAGCTTCCACCATTACCACCTCTGTCTCTGCCATACTCCTGGGAGGCACCTGTGGCTACTTTGCCATCACTCAGCAGGGGTACTACAGTACACACCCTTTCCCCTGCTCCACGGACTAATCCCACATCTTTAGCCACTGTGACACTCAGAAAGACTGCAACTACAGTACCAGCTCCCCCGATGACTCAGCCCGACTTGTCCCTATCGCTATCCTCTCTCCCTGCTCCTGAAGGCACTAGCAGACGGTCTGAAGTGTCTCCCTCTCAGAGTAGTGAGAGCAGTCTGGACATTGAGGCCTCTCTGGCCAGGATGTCCTCCCTGGCCCGCTCTGTCCTGCAGGAACTAGCCCAGGACCGTGGCCACCTCTTGAGTAACTCCTCCCAGTCTCCCCACTCCTACTCCACCCCATTCCCCCCACCACCTGGACAGAAACGCTACCTATCAGCAGTGGAAAGTGTTGGTAGTAGCATGACAACAGTCACCTCTTTGGACTCTGAACTGACTCCTCCCAGTGTCGACTCACTAGCAACACAAGAGTCTCATCAGCTCCATGACCTACCAACACCCTCATCCACTGTGAAGGTATATGCAGTATGTTTTGCACACTGTGTTAGATGCTGTGTTAATCTCTCCAGGACTCTCCCACTTCTGTATCAACACAATAACTCTTATATGTACACATCTGATGACTGTAATACACATTGTACAGGTTTGTGTGACTATACAGGTGCACACTTAACAGGGGGGGAAATGATAAAAATGTGCTCAGACCATAGTTTGATCATTGTTGCTAGTGAAGATGCTGACCCCAGTCTCATAGTAGTCGCCATCCACGAGTTTGTGGAGTGGTAAGGTAGGCTCCTGCTCTGGGCTGTGTGGTTTAGGTTTAGGACCAAGCGGTGGTGGTGACGGGTCTCTTCTAGTGCTCTCATCTGCTGCCGATGATGAGTGCAGACTACTGAGTGGCGGTGGTGGTGGTGGTGGTATGTGGTCCCTGTACTCGTCGTCTTCAATCATGTCTGCCGTAACCACATTGTAATACTCCTCAGTGTTTTTCCCACCGTTTTTCTCGGTAGAAGTTTGTGTGTGACTCTGTCATATACCACTTCCTTTACCACAGCCTGTGCCTGCTCCCTTCTTCCGACGTTCCTATATCTCTGACTCTCTCCCTCTCCTGCAGGCCTTGTGAGACCGTAGTGGTCGATATTTGAGTAAGGCCGACTGTCCTCATCTGTTTCTAGACTTTCGTATTCGGCACCCGTTCTGTCTGATGTATGTTGGACACTGTGGGCCTCTGTGCATAGAGGTCGCTGTGATATAGAAGCATCGCTGGGTATGTAGAGTGCCTGTAGTTGGCTGTACATCTTGTGTCCAGCCTGTAGCTCAGCTCCCAGGCAGGCGGCCTTCTCATGGGTGGCAGCGTCCTCACTGGGAATGTGCAGCACCGTCGTTTCATTGTCCAACAAGGACCTCAGAATCTCTTCGAAACTAGGGCGTTTTGAATTGTGTGGATGCCTATTAGTGAAAGTTAGTTAGAGTGAAGATAGGTGCTTGTAGTGTATACCTAACTTCTTACCAGCATTGTATCATAATGTCATAGGCCCTGTGAGGACAACCAGGTGGCGGGGGTAGTCTGAATCCTATACTCACCTCTTTTAGGACCTGTGGGTTTGTGCATGTTCACTAGTACACGGGACTTTAGACAGCTTTAACTGACTTGTGTGTTTGAGCAGTTTTCGAAAGGCTTGTGTCCAAGACTCCATATCTCATAGAGGAGACAGCCATAGCTCCACACATCACTGGCACTGGAGTACTTGCGGTAATACACAGCCTCCGGTGCTGTCCACCGGATTGGAATAGTACCGCCTTCGGAAATGTAGTATTCAGCATCTGCTAAATCTCGGGACATTCCAAAATCGGCAATCTAGAGAATACATGTACATACATACATACATACATATGTACACATTTTGTGTGTTTTTGATAAGTTCGGACCTTGCAAACATCCTTGTCAGAGACCAGGATGTTTCTGGCTGCCAGATCGCGGTGAACAAACCCCTTGTCAGAGAGATAGAGCATGCCCAGTGCCACCTGTGTACTGTAGCTCAGCAGCAGTGCGGGTATATCTATGTCACTACTACCCGCATGCCTGCATTTAAAGAGAAACACCTTGTTTACCTAATCGTATCACGTTAGGAATTTCATATATTTCTCTATGGTAGTAGGGAATTAACTGACGACTGAAGTCTTACTCTGTCCTGCTTTCCAACAGGCATCCTTTGAGATCTCCTTTTGACATGTATTCCATGACCAGGGAGACCTGTTATGGAACGTGAAAGTGTGTACTAATTCCCCTTATAGATAGAGTGCTATGTACCAACCTTGGTCTTATCTGTAATGATACCGTGTAAGAATATCACATTTGGGTGGCGAAACTGAGATGTTATGGCCCCTTCCTGGAGGAACTTTAGCTTGTCTGTTGGGGAGGCATCGCTGTGTAAGGTCTTGACAGCCACCTCTATGATGCCATGAGCTCTAGACCACACCGCCTTCTCCACGTTGGCAAACTGTCCAGAGCCAAGTTGTCCCACAGTTCTAAATCATGGGGGAGTTGTGGGGGGAGGCAGTGGGCAGTGTGATTCCACTTACAATTGGGTGTTTTGTGCAGTGTGTATTGACCATGTCATATTAAACTGACTTACTGGAAGTGTTTGGCTGATAGTGATGGGACTTTCTGTCCGCTGATCTGTTCGTAGATCTGATGCTCGTGAGTGGCCGGGATCTGATAGGGTGTTGGCTTTATCTTGCTCAGAGTAGACACAACCTGGGTCCGAGTATTTGGTGTTAGTGGGCATACACTTCTACCACATAATGCTGTGCATGTGGCTTCTATTTACTGAGAGTCACACATGACTTATTGAAGCTCCCTATATATGGTTACAGTACTTAGTTATCCTTGTGTGGGGACTACAATGTCTGTAAACACAGGGTTGTCATACCTTTTTAACACTTGAACGAAACTCTTCACTAGCCGGCACTAGAGAGGCATAGATGCCAAAAACTTCAGCGATTCCCTAGTGTAAAGAAAAGATTAGCACTTTACACATTTTGTACAGTTTTACTAAACCTCGTCGTAGGGAGATTCGTAAAGATTTTCACTGGCAGTTGATGATGCCCTTGTCCTTCCTGCCAGTCCCCTGCGTCCCTTCCTGCCAGTTTTGAACAGTCTGTAGTCCTGCACCAGCATTGGCAGGTCGTAAGTTGCGTTGTCTACACCGGACAGAAACAGATGGCAGTGCTAACTTCCACCCACACAAAGCTGGCAGAAAAACACACAACTTGCTACAGTATATAGCTACCTATTGCCAGTGGACTGGGCGGATTTCGAGCAGAGTCTTTTTCATTTGTTCAACTTTCCATCGCCTGTAGACCAGTATTCCCAGAACCAGCCCCACTATGATCAGTGCCAGAAGAAACACTAGAGTTGTAAAAGTTGCTATCAGAGCTATTTCCCATCCGGCGATGCCAGCATTGTCTCTGTTAGTGTTTGTTGGTGACCTTATGTCGGTGCTTCCATTGTCTTTCTCACTGGTTGATATTCTTGGCTCTCCTGGTGTTGAGGAGAGCATTGGTGCTACTGTACTTGAAACTGATAGAGATTTTGTGGGTTTTGGGAACACTGAGCTTGATGCAGTCAGTGCCACTTCATCTTCAGTGACTAGAAGAAGCATAAAAGGTTCTAACAAACTCCACATGAAAGAACGGAAGACCTTACCTACATCTCCCTGGAGGTGAAGAAAGCCACCTGCTAGCCCATCAAGCCGTGATAGAGGAACAGAGTTCTCAGTGAAGGGTCCTGGGAATTGTCTGTTGTCTCGGTAGAGCATCAGCTGTGGCGCCGCTTGTCCCACAACCAGCAGCGCCCAACTGAGAGTGGGGAGATAGACAGCAAGATAGTCTCCTGCTTCAACCCTCAGATAGTCCTCTGGATCGAGGCTCTTGCTCATGCAGAGAAAGGGATCAATCTGATCTTGGGGGTTGCTCAGCTCGATTTCCATAGGCACTTGGTGTATTTGACTGAGCTGGTTAATACTCTGGTTTCTGTACACCCTGAAGTACACGTGATGGCTCTGTGGTGAATCTTGTACGTTGCTTGTGTAGTAGCATAGGTGCCATTCTATGATGTAGCCAGAGCAGGTGAGGGGATGTTCAAGGTCCACGTACTGCCCTACTTGGGTTGTTGCAGTCCCCTGTGCATCAATGTCCTCTCTACCAAACTTGCAGGATAGGCTCCATACATTTGCTGCAGTTACACAGTGCTAGCATTAGCCTAGACAGAGCTCAGTGATAACTTACCCAATTTGGGGTGTAGCAGCACCAGTACCATCACAAGAAGAAGAATGAAGTTCATTTTAGGTAGCTGGCGAGTGTTAACTATTGCTGACTCCACTCTACCTAGCTACTAGTGAACTATTACTGACTTCACTCTAGCTAGCTACTAGTCTGGCTATTCTAATGCTCTGCTATGCTGGTATCAACCGTAGATGCTACTGCTCTTCAATGGAATGCACCAACATCCTGGTTCAGATTCTTGGAGCTCATGTGTCACCAGAGTCCCTTTTCACCCTATAGTTCACTCTGCTATATTATGCTTTGGCTATAAAACTGGTTCGTGTCGTGGGATGGTGTTTTGCCATGCCATTGTCATTTTAGCTTTGTGTACTGATCACGTATGGAAACAGTCCATAGTCAATGCAGCAGTCCAACGAGCATAACTACAGACACACCAAACTCTACACCATGCGGATGTGTGTGACACTACATCCTGTCATTATAATATATGATGGTACCTGGGCTCTGAAAGACTACCACAGAATTAAATTTAACACTGAGGCCCGGATTTGATCTTGGGTCCTATATATGCGCCACGCTTATGCTCTAGTCTATGCAGTAACGCAAAACAGTAAATATAGTTAACCCTAATAGGTGGCAGAAGTTTTTTTAATGTTGATCAAAAATGAATTATTAACACCAAAGTACATGTTCAGGAAGATGCTCGTTCATCTATATTATAGTGCTGCTGTTTCCCAGATACTTTGTCTGTAGTGATGAATACATCTTGTGTCCAGCTTTTAGTGGTGCACCGACACGGAATGCATCACGGTCCGTTAACGCGTCTTCAAACGGTATTGCCAACAGCTCCTCCTCATCACTAATGAGGAGAGTCAGAATGTCTTTGAACGTAGGGCGGGAGGCTGGGACCGGATTCCTGTGTGTATGACAATTACATTTCAAGTCTATACTGTCTTGTGTTCTTAATGCAAAATGGTGTTTCTTACCAGCAGTCGATCATCAACTTGTAAATATCACGAGAGCACCCAGGGGGAGGAGGTAACCTGAAACCTGCAGTCACCTTCTCCAGCACCTGATATATAAAAGAATGTTCAATTGCCTGAAACTCAAGAAAAAACCCACCTCATTGTTCAAAAGGCTTGAGAAAGGCTTTTCCCCAAGACTCCATATCTCATAGAGGATGCAGCCGTAGCTCCACACATCGCTGGCAGTGGAGTACTTCTTGTAGAACGCAGCCTCGGGTGCAGTCCATTTGATGGGAATTATTCCTCCAGCTGAACGATAGTAGATTGAGTCTTCCAACTCACGCGACATGCCAAAGTCCCCAATCTGCGGTTGCAAAAGTAGGAAGGTGTGACAGGTGTTTTCGTGATGGCTTACGTGGTTACTACTCGGCATAAGTATACCTTGCATATGTCTTTGTCAGAAATCAAAACATTTCTGGCGGCCAGGTCACGGTGTACAAATCCTTTTTCGGAAAGGTAGAGCATTCCCAGTGTGACTTGGATGCTGTAGTTCAGGAGAACTAACGGGGTGTTTGTATCCACGCCATTGCCACGGTGTCTAAAGTGTCAAAAGATGATTTGTTTGGCAACAGAGGGTACATGTTGTAACACCTACTGTTTTGACCTGCACACAGTTGGCTACAAAAGAGATGTCCTTGGCTGCACTTAGTTGTTTACCTGTTTTTGAGTCTTTCGCTGAGATCTCCACCATTGAGAAACTCCATCACTAATGAAATCTGTAAAAAAAATATGCTGAGCAGTGACCTCCTTTTTCGTGCTCATAAAGTGCCACGTACGTTCTTGTCCTGGTAGATGACAACTCCATGGAGAAGAACGATATTTGGATGATGAAACTGTGCCATGATTGCTGCCTCCTGGAGGCACTTGACTCTGTTTGCATCACCGGCGTCTCTGTGTAGTGTCTTTACAGCCACATCCTTTGTACCGCTGCTTGAAACCCACACCCCTTTCTCCACACTGGCAAAGTTGCCTGATCCCAGGTGACCACTGACTCTGATGCCAGAATGACAAGTCGGCAAATACACCATATTCTCCTTTAAGAAGAACTGAACTGAACAACGTACTGGATTTCAGTGACTGGAATGCGAATTCCTGGGTTATGGTATGAGAGCTGCCTGTAGATGGTTTCTTCTTCAGATGCTGGTTTGTGAAAAGGCACTGGTGTTGTGTCCTTGATTGTTGAAATCACCTGCAGTATATTATACAGCCGGTATATAGGGTGTAAAACACATTAAGAGATACACGTCATATAATTATACCTTTCTTATTCGTGTTGAGAGGTTTTCACCTTTTTCTATGCTCACTGGAGTCGAGTATATATCAAATACCTCCTGCAGCCAAAACATATAAAACTAGGCCATGTGCAATCATTTGCCATAGTTTGTCTACCATTTCGTAGTGCATGTAAAGTGGCGGTACATCTGCTGCAGCCTGTTGCCTACTGTTGTCGGCTTCTGGTCCTAACATAGAGTAGGTGGCATCAAACTCGACTGTTGCACATCGTTGATCGTCGCTGACTTCCATTGTTGGTACTGACTCATAAATCGAAGCATCCAGTACATCATAGGGGTGATGCTCACCATCATTACCATCTCTGCTCATAATATTTTGTGGAGTTGCATAAATGCTTGAGATTTCCTTCATTGGAACTGATGAGGTTAGGTTAGGTAAGGTCAGTTTTAACATTGTATGAGGCTTACCGTTCTTAGTGAGCATGGAATGTTTCTTTCTGCGCTGCTTTAGACAAACACAGAATGCTACAATTGCAATGAAAGCTGAGAGAACCAGAAAAAGAACCCCTGAACTGAAAGTTGCAACAACCCAAAACGGAAACCCAGCCCCACTAGTGTCCTGTTTGTTTCCCGGAGCTAAGGAAGACGTCATCAATGACACACTAGCAGGAGAACGTCTGCTGTGAGTCCCGTCATTTCTTAGAGAGAACTCCACCACTGAAGTGGCTTGAGTTGGAACATCTCTAGAAGTAGTGGGAGTAGGAGTATGAGCAGGAGAATGCCTGCTGTGACTCTCATCATTTCTTAGAGTGACCTCCACCACTGGAGCTGGGACATCTCTGGAAGTTGTAGAAGTAGAAGGAGTAGGAGAAGGCGTGAAGGTAAAAGGAGAAGTGGAATCTCCAGCAATGATGGGAGATGATGAAGTGCGAAGACCCACCAAAGTTACTGCACAAGAACAGTATCAATGGCATCACAAGGACAGTGTTAGATAACTTTACCTGAAGCATTGCCTGTAGGTACGGTGCGAAAAGCATCGATGGAGGTATTATCTGGATAGACTTAAATGAAGTGTATATAATATGCACTACACAATGATTACATCTTAGCAACGAACTCACTGATCTCAGCAGAAACATGAATTGCCGTGCCCACTTCAAGTTCTAAATCTGATTGTCGTACTGTTGTTGAGAAGAACTGGGTGGACGTCGGCCTGCTATCTTCGTACACAGTCATTCTCGGCAAATCTCTTCCCAGTATAGGCAGTGGCTCAAAATACATGGGAACATAAACAGCCACGTAGTCGCCGTCCAGTACATACACAGTCTCATCTTCGTTATAATAGTGATCATGACACGCGAATGAACGTGTGTATTGCTGCTGGTCGAAACTTCTGTCCAAGCTGTGTATCTGTCTCAGTACGTCTTCCTCTGGATCATACCTGAATATTCTGAAGATGACTCTGTACGACTCATTCTCAGTCATGTCGCCCGTATAGAAACAAAATCTGAGGGAGCTAAGGAGTCCGGAGCAGGGTATTGGATGGTCGAGGTCCACAAACTGGCCCCGTTCTGTTGATCGACTCCCTTCAATCAGCTGTGAAGCTCCATATGTACAGTCGCCAATCACTAAAGTTGCCCCTATAACACAGATGGCAATTATAATGGATCACAGAAACTATGATGACACGTACAGGCAAGCAAGAGACAACTGGAGACTAAAAGTAGGGAACACATCTTATAAACTCGAGGATGTTGCTCTTGCTCTACAAGGCTTTATATACTGGACCACACGTTTGTGCATTGGCAGCCCAGTGGTCTACTATGAGGTTTCGTTTGCAAGCAGGCTGCTGTGAGCTACAAAAGAACAGAAGTTGTGTGATGTTAACAGGACAAAGCAAAATGTTGCCATTTACTGATTGGCTACCGTAATGATATGTGCCATATTTACTTGGACCACACTATCTGCTTTATAGTTGTGGTATATGGAGAAAATATCCTTCGTGCTATATGAGCATCCAAAAGTCCTTGATGGTTTGGCCTGTGTTAATGGAAGCCACGGAGAGTCCTACTTGTGCAGACTTGTACACAGGGTAAACAATATGGTAGGTGTGACTGTGAAAAACATATTGCTGTATAACTACAGAATTTACATGTCAAGGACAGCCTCAAACACGCTCCATTGTTCTGAAAAAAGGTAATGCACTCTATCTTCCTGTACTAATTCCTATCTAGCTTTTATACTCTCTCTTTTGCCTCTCTTTTACCGCCCCCAACCTCCCTGTGGGAGCATCAGTGCTAGAAGACCCAGGCCAACCATCTGTTATACTATGACTATCATCGGAGTGTGGAATACTCCTTTTTCTCTCTTTCGCTGTCCCCCACTTTTCAACCTCTGATGAAAGGGTGTCAAACAATTTTGCATTTGTGGAAAGCATTAGTGCTAGAAGACACAAGCTAACCATCTGTAATACTCTGACTATTGTTGGAGTATGGAATAGTGAATACACTTAATCTTCCTGCACCTATTCCTGTCTAGCTTTAGTAATTCCTCTTTGCCTCTCTTTCGCTGCCCCAAACCCCCCAACCTCTAATAAAAGGGTGTCAACGATTTTGCATTTTTTGTGGGAGTATCAATGCTAGAAGACACAGGCCAACCATCTGTAATACTCTGACTATTGTTGGAGTATGGAGTAGTAATACACTCGCACCTAGCTTTAGTAACCCCTCTTTTTTTTCTCTTTTGCTGCCTCCCACTTTCCAACATCTGATGAAAGGGTGTCAACGAATTTGCATTTTTTGTAGGAGCATCAGCACTAGAAAATACAAGCCAACTATCAGTAATGTTCTGACTATTTGTATAGAATAGTAATGCACTCTATCTTCCTGCACCTATTCCTTCACATGGCTGAGATCCCACACACCTATTCAAATCTGGCACACCGTGCTACCAATGGCTAGGACAAGTAGCCAACTCTGCCTGAAGTATAGAGCTTATAGCAAACAACTACATCTGCACTATGTGCCAATTGAGTATTCAGAGAAGATAGTCATCTATTAATTATCCCACCATTGACACATTTTACAAACACAATTAATGCAACATGAAGGTCAGCTTTATTTAGTACTGTGAGTTAAGTACACTGTGCAGTGAGTATATATGGCACACAATTGTTGATACAATACAATGTATCTCAAGGCCTGCCTTGAGTGTCATTTAGCTCAATTTGTCAAAATACTATATATCAGGTGGTAAGGTAGGAGTTCTGTCTGTTGAGGTACATGCTGTGACCGGCCTCCAGTGGAGACCCCAGGACTCCAGCCAGACTGTGAGAGGCCCTCTCCTCTGTAGGAACTGCCAGTAGAGCCTTGTCATCTCCCAGAAGAGTCAGGAGAATCTGCTGGAATGTTGGACGCTCGGCTGGATCTGGGTTCCTATAAGAGTCACAAACAATTACTTAACAGTGGCTTTACATTATATTTTCCCTTTGTAACCATGTATGGACCACCACCGCAGCTTTACTCAAAGGAAAAACTTACCAGCAGTCTATCATGAGGCTGTATACAGCCTCTGGGCAGCCTGGAGGGGGTTGTAGGCGGTATCCTGTCTCCACCCTCTGAACGACCTGCATGCATTTGCTAATTGTAGATAATAGCTGTTACATGTAATGTTCTTACTTCTCGGTTGGTGTATCCTTCAAAAGGCTTATGTCCAAGACTCCATATCTCATAGATGAGACAGCCATAGCTCCACACATCACTGGCTGTGGAGTACTTCTTGTAGGCAAGAGCCTCTGGAGCTGTCCACTTGACTGGCACCTTCCCTCCCTGAGACATGTAGTAGTTTTCATCTTCCAAATCACGTGACATCCCAAAGTCGCTTATCTGGAAAGTGAAGTACTCTTAAACACTACCGAGCGGCCATTGGCAATAAGACCTTGCAGATGTTGTTGTGAGAGAGAAGGATGTTCCTGGCTGCTATGTCTCTGTGGACAAAGCCTTTCCCTGAGAGGTAGAGCATCCCCAGGGCAGTCTGGCGGCTGAAGGCCAACAGAGTCAGGGGAAGATCAACTGAGTGGAGTTGACCAGGACTGAGAGGAGACAAAAGATTTTTGCTGCGGCCTATCACAGGATCGGCTTACTCTGGTCTCATTTTATTGAGTGCCTGGCGTAGGTCTCCCTTTTCTAGCAGTTCCACTATGAGCATTATCTGATAACGGAGAAGGTAACGAGAATTGTGTTTCAGGTTGTGTTGGCTGCATTTCTAGATACCTCATGTCCATCACTGACAACTCCGTAAAGCTTGATGACATTGGGGTGTCTGAACTGGGACATGATGGATGCCTCCTGCAGGAACTTGACTTTACTGGTCTCGTCTGAAGCATCTGAGAGAACCTTGATTGCCACATCCAATTTCTTGTCAGCATAGACCCATTGGCCCTTGCAGACCGTTCCAAATTCACCGGATCCAAGAACTCCGAGTTTTCTGGTGGACAGTAACAAATCAATTGTTGCGTCTGCTTGTGTGTATGCATACTTGATATGTGAGCTAGGGATGGACTTTATTCTCTGTGTCTGGAGCTGTTGGTAGAGCTCATCTTCTCTCTCAGCTGGGACTGTAGTAGAGATTGGCACTGTCCTCCTCTACTGCTCCACCACACCTCTCAGCCTAGTTGGATGACTGATTGATATTTCTGTCGTCTTTTAGCTACCTATGCTCACTGATGTAAAGCACATTGTTGGGTAGGTTACCTTTCTGACGATGTTGCCATACTCTTGCTCCATGTAGCTGTACTCATTAAGTGTAGAGTAGTAGTCAACGGCTGAATAGCACTCTAATGGTCCATAATTTCCCTGCAGGTGTGCCATGAGGAAAAAATTTCTCCCACCTTAACTTTCCACCCACATATTATATAAGGGCAAAGCATACACAATGTCGAAAGTATGCCTTGGACCTTACTGTTGGAGAATGTAGTCCTTGTAGTAGAGTGGGATTGTCATACACATTGCCTTCCACTGAGCATTGTATGTCAAGACTGTGTTCCATATCGTGTGGAGTGTCATATATGCCACAGTTACCAGCATTTTCTCATTGTCAACTCTGATTCCTGCTCATCTTGCGGCAGTATTCCATCGTATATGGGGTTATCCAGGTCACTCTGTATGGGAAGAGGAAGCTTATGGACCAACTATGATGATGGGACTCCTCACATGTTGAACTGCAGTTGAATCTCCATTAAAGCTGATAGTGCTCATCCTGGTACCTACTCCATATGTTTTGTTTTCTATATATAAAATGTGTACTTAGTAGATGATAACATTATGTTATCTGCCTTACCAAAGCCTACACTGCTAGCGAAATGTACAGACTTTGAGCGTTTTCTAAGCTTTAGAGCAAAGAGAACTCCAATTATCAGTAGAGTAGCAACAACTAGGAGTCCTGTCACTGTCACTCCTGATATGAGTCCCAAGTTAGAGCCACTGTCACCAGTCTTCTGTTCCTCTGGCTCTCTAACATCTGGCAGGGCTGAGGGAGGATAGCATGAATCTACTTTGCCACTCTTGCACCTGTATGTTTTAGTGATAAACACAGGATGTGGATGATGAATACCTTCACAGACTTTGCCATTGCCTGTGTACCCAATTGAGCACTGGCAGTTGTAGCCTCCCTCAATGTTTAGACACTCGGCATTCTTGCTACAGTCATGGGATCTCACACTGCATTCATCAACATCTGCAAAAGGTTTTAACATAATATGTCAATCCATGTTTTTCATGTACAGGTATTTGGTATAATGAAGTGTTTGTCCAGCATGCATGTAGGTACATTGATATGATATCTAGAGACTGTGATGAGTAGTCTCATGTCAACACCTGAGCAATTGATGCCATCTCCCCCATATCCTGGCTTGCAGTGACAACTGTAGCTCCCAGCAGTGTTTAAACAGTCTGCAGCTGCACTGCAGTCATTTGATACCTCTCCCAGGCACTCATCCATATCTGACATGTCCCCAACAACCATAGAATGAGAGTAGGAAGGTCATGATTAATTTAACCATAGCTATATATGTAGTTCACTTTGTTTACTTTGCCTTTGCCTTGCGCCTTGTTGGTGTGTGCATGTGACTCATGAATTTGTGTGTCACTATCGTTTATGGTACTACAGTTTACCATTGCACACTGTTTCATTCCACATGTAGCCAGTGGGACATGTACACTCATAACTCCCCTCAGTGTTGACACACAGTCGAGGACCACAGACACTGGGGTCCAACTCACACTCATTAACATCTGCAGGGAAATAAAAAAATTAATGCTCTGACTCTGCTCTTTGGTAACCACCAGCTGGTTCACCTGAGCAGTTGGATCCATTTCCAGTGAATCCATCACTACAAGTACACATGTAGCTCCCCTCAGTATCGGTACATTTGGCATTCATACCACACATACTCTCAGTCTCCAGACACTCGTCTACATCTGTGGTGTAGCTACCACTACTGACAAATTACTAACAAACTAGCAAAATTCTTACCAGTGCAGGTCGCTCCATTTCCAGAGTAGCCACGTTTACATGAGCAGGAAAAACTACCATTGGTATTGTTACAGTCTGCATTTACATCACAACTGTCACTGTTATTTTCACACTCATCTATGTCTGCGTGTAATAAACTATTAGGTTACTGAACCTTGCACCAACTCAACTGACCATACAAACCACTCCATAACCAGGTAGCCATCACTGCACGTGCAGGAGAAACTACCATCTGTATTGGCACACGTTGCCTTCTGTGCACAGTTGTCCACTATCTGTAGTGCACTCATCGATGTCTAAATCAGAGCGCAAAGTAATCACATACTTCTCCTTTTGCTATAATTATAATTTTATTACCATAACAATATGTTCCATTTCCTGAGTATCCAGGTAAACAGGAACAGTTGTGTCCACCATCAATGTTAGTACAGTTTGCATTTTCATCGCAGCTATCGACTTGTAATTCACACTCGTTCACATCTGTGAATGTTCCCCTGTATGTTAAAAGGCTTGGTGTGTTACCTTTCTAACCGATGCATTCTGTGCCATTTCCAGTATACCCAATATCACAGTTACAGCTGTAACTCCCCTCAATATCAGTACATGTAGCCTGCTCTGCACAGTTGTCCATGTCAGTTGCACACTCATCAATATCTGCAAAGATTACTGAGACTCTGATTATACATGAAAAGTAACTCACTGATGCAGCTCAAACCATCTCCAGAGTATCCAGTGTTACAAGAACACTGAAAGCTTCCATCAGCTCCCACAATATCTGAACACGTAGCATCTGTATGGCAGTTGTTCACCCCCACAGCACATTCATCAATGTCTGCATCAAACAATTTCCCCGAGACATGCTAGTGTGTTATGATGGCAGGAAACTTACTGATATCCACGTAAAGATGGAGCTGTGCTTTTTGTCTGTTGGAACCATCTATAGTAGGAGATATTTCCATATCTGCTTCTGTGCAGCTGCCGCCACCTGTCCATGAATCAACTCTTCTTTTTTTATGATCTCTGAGAATGTCAAGGTATTCTGTGTCTCCATCAGGTCTGAGACAAGCTCCCACTCTGTCTCCTTCCTGTATCTGGAAGTACTCCGAGGGATCCAGTGTCAGATTGCCACAGTTAAAGGTATCTTCTCGCATATCCATGTGGAGAAGATGGTAGCTACCGTCGCGAAGAGTGTATATGTTGCTGGTGATGAGAATACCCCAAATGCCACTGAAGATAGGTTCATGTTGTCAGGGTAGTAGCAGTAGTGCCATGCATACACTGTTCCACTACACTTAGCTTCTTCCTGCGACCTCCTGTTCACATATATGGCTGTATTAGTGCTTGTGTCGTCGGCACTAGTGTCGGCGCTACCAGAGGTGTATACTGAACACGACTGTGCATCTAATATGCCTGTTGGGGACATATAAATCGGTGATTTTATGCTGTTATGTGACTTGACTATGCGAGCATTCTATTTTGTATCAACGGCGCTAACTCACGTATCGAAGTAGCCAAGATTATGTGCGAGAGCAGGATAGTCACATCCATCATGTTGCTTTGTTGTGATTGAACGAGCCACCTGCACTGTATTGATATGCCAACGGCTAGCTAGAACGCCGTCCCCCGCAAATCCTCTTTGGGTTTTTGCGCATGCGTTGTTCGCACCGCTTATTCAGAAAATTGCGCGGGCGTCGATGATATCTTGACCCCAGAAAGTTGGTTTGGACATCCTCCTCTAATTATAACCCAAAACACGTCTATGAGATGGCATAGGGCTCACACAGTGAGCGTGGACGGAGTTTTGTATAACTGCAGAAGCAGTAAAGGATAATGGGATAATAGAATTTCAGATATTTCTCTACTATTCAGAGTCAGTGCAAATCCTCTCTGAATACCGCCATGGTTTGATAAAGAACATTCGGTCAGCATAATCATAACAATGACGCAATCCATGTGAATGTCGAGTGGTATGCATGCGAATGAAATAATACTAGTAGCTTGCTCAGCCTGGGTTGGGGGGGGGGATGGGGGGTGGGTGGGGGGGTGGGGGGGGGGGGGGGGGGGGGGGCGGGGGGGGAGTGGTGGGGGGGGCGGGGGGAGAAAACAAAAAAAACAAACCAAAAAAACCAAAAAATAAAAAAAAACCCACACAACCCCCCAACAACACAAATTATCCAACTAAAACCACAACCAACCATCAACAAGATAAAAAATACACCAAAAATAACAAATCCCAAAAATAAATAACATCTTCACACAACAAACACATACACCAAAAACAACAAAAAAATACCCAAACACAAACGTAAAAACAAAAAAAACACCGTTGCTGATTATAACAAACCGGTACTCAAAAACACCAAATGAGCTAAAAACCAGATCGCTAAAAGGCTATATAGACAGCGTAGGAATATAAGAGAGCTACTTTTAGTGAGCGTGTGCTCCATTTACGCTGGAGCTACTACTCACACGTAGGAGCTGTACCGAATCATCTAGAGAGCTATCAAAACATAAAAGGTAATGACAGACATTCATTTAACTATTGGCAACTTATAACAAGTGCACAATGTCCTACACATTCAAGAACA